GCTAGAAAGCAGATAACATTACAATTCCATTAACCAATCACAGCTGGAAAGCCTCCCCATCAACCAATCACAGCTAGAAAGCAGATAACATTACAATTCCATTAACAAATCACAGCTGAAAGTGATAGGTTATTTATATGATATGAAATATGATGGACTGAAAGTGGAATGTTCCTGGCCTTTCCAAGCTTTCAGGTCCTGCTTTCCAATATGCTATGTGTACTGGTTAATTTAATATCCCTCTAGAATTCCACACTGATTATTTGCCGTTCAACTAATGAATGATGATGAAGAAGATATCACTCGTCTATTGCAACTTACTCAGCTCGGCCCTTGGTCAGTTACGTGCTCTCAGCCCAACCAGGGAAGGTATTGTTACGGAGTCATCACTCCTGTTGATACTGGTGCTGATATATCTGCTATGGAGAAGCGCATAGTGGCAAAGCAGAGAGTTTTTTAGACTCTCCCTCAAGTTCATTTTTGAGTCCTATAAGTAGACCAATAAAGTATCATGGATACCAGCATTTTCATACTTAAGAAATTGGCTTAAATCTTGAGTAAATGAGCAAATTAAAAATGAACTGATTCTAAAAAAGCTCTGGTTTGCCACTATGGTCAGAAGCGTGTTAAAATAGATAGGCCTAGTCCTTGTAAATTTGTGAAAATGGAGAGGTTAAGCAGAATTTGCAGAAACCTAGAAGGTAAGCGTGTGCCCTCTACCTCAATTAGGGTGGTTTTTGAGGGTGGACAGCTCCCTAATAGAATGAAAATTGGCTACATTGCCTACTCCATCCGCCCCTACATCTTCCTTCCATTGCAACAATGCAATGCTACCGTTGCCAACGATATGGTCACTCGGCAGATGGCTGCAATAGTAAGAAGAGGTGTCTTGTGTGTGCTGAAGAACACCATTACAAGGAATGCACAAGCAAGCAGCCAAAATGTGCCAACTGTGGTGGAGCACATGAAGCCAACTTCACAGAGTGTCCTAGGGCCCCAGGGCGTGCACGACAAGTGAGACCTAGCAACACTAATAATGTGAGTACCAATTTTACACATGGGAACAGTGAATTGGTTCACTGCCCCTCTCAAGGTGGTATGCCTGGTCCTGGACACATGACTAGCTTGATGAATGCACGTGCAGATCTGCCATCAGGTCCAGTACGCTTTGAGAGGAGATATGGACGGAGATTTTTGGGAAAACATACTGTGACAGTGTCAGCTGATGTCCACCACCAATTGAATAGCCCCATTCAGGGATTCTGCTCTCCAATGTACAGTCAAGTAGTCTCAAATCAGCCCTTAGTGGAAGAATCAAATGGCGTTACTAACCTCAACTCAGCTCCTTGTGTTGCGGCTTGTGAGCCAAAGGCTTTTGTTCCACCTATTGAATTTCTATCCAGCCTGGTGGGCTGCTTGACAGATTTGTTTTCTCTCCCATTGCACAAGGAATCACCCTGTCTCTTATACACATCTAGATGTGTATAAGAGACAGCCCAATACGTCCGTGAGAGACATGTGATGGTATCAAGCATCAATGCCCTGGGAATCCCTCTCATCTCTGTGCGTGTGCTTCTTGGGGGAGGCAATTACCCCAGAAGAGTTCAGCACTCCATAGTGCGAGCAACTGCTACGTATCTCACACAAACTGTTCGTCTAGCTACCTTATAGCTAGTAAAGAGCACTGGATCTAATAAAATTTGCTATACATCGTGAGACTGCTGACAACCTGGAGAACAAGTACCAGCTGAGAGAGGAAGAAGAGAAGCTGAGAGTGAGAGGATGAAGACTTGCACTAAATTAAACAATAATTCTGAGTCCAGGTGTAACAGGCGGTCTGCGCACGACTACTTCTTCACCTTCAACCCGGCATCAAATCAATCAATTTTTTTGGCCGAACGCAACGTTTGAAAAAATATTTTACTCGTTAATTTGTCGACTAGCTACATTTTCCTACATGGTATTTAAAATCAATTTAACTTTTATTAGGGTTTTTGGTATTAGAAAATTAAATTTGAAAATTTTCTGTTGTATTAGTGCTGTCGGAACTTGTACTGGATAAAATTTAGAAATGGTTAGGTTAGGTATTCTGGATGGGACAAAGATGACAAATCTCATTAACTACAGAGCTATTCTGCTCTACTCCAGTTCCAGTAGTCCAGTTAATATAGTTAGTCCACCAAGTTTAGTACTTTGACTACTGGCCCCCGGGTGCCTGCCCCAGTGGTCCTGGCCAACTTTTCTGGTAGGCTTTTCAATTCATTTTCTTCTATAAAAGTGAGAATATTATTCCACCATTACCTACCCAGGCTACCCATAGTGTCAAACTCAAAGCAGAGACTTTTTAGACTCTCAAGTTCATTGTTGAGTCCTAGAACTTTAGAAGTAGACCAGTAAAGTATTTAGTATTATGGACACCAGCATCAGCACCATGGTCAGGAAGATGTGCCAGGTGCGCGGGAATTTATTTTGTCATTTTAATGACCTGCGCGGTGCGCCGTACTACGTTGGTAAAAAAATGCGCCGTGCGCCTTACTTTAGAAAGCTAAAATAGTTCTACTATTTTAGTCAACAATATACGCGAGTATATTGACTACCCGAGTCCCGAGTCGAACTGACAATAATAAAATGTAAGACATGTCCGGGTTACTTCTGACTCTTCCGGTTGTCCGCCTTGTCGGATACGGAATGTACGGTAATCGTAAACTGCAGCTGTTATACATACGAAATGTAAACAGACGGTGTTCAGTGTTGCCATATGACTTTGGAGAAAATTTCTTCTAAAATTAAGATGGCCGGGATTGCGCAAACACGTGCGCGAAGATAATCAATTTTCATTACATTGCGCCAACTGTGCACAGCAATAGCTTAAAAAAGGTGAAAATGCGCGGGAAAATTCACCAAAAACATACATCATTGATCATCCTGAGTGTGGCATCAGCATTATCATACATAAGGACATGATTTAAATCTTGAGTAAAAGTAAATAAGGAAATTAAAAACTGATTCTAAAAAGTCTGTCTCTTGTCACTATGATTATTACTTATTCAGAATTCCACACTGATTTGCAAGGAGTAATTTACACCTCACAGCTTGCAGTCCAGGATGGAATTATAAAAATTAAGGTTCATATATAATTTTTGATCTACCTCCAATCACTTTTTTGATACAAAAATTTTAGTTAAGACGGAGAAGATAAAAATAAGAGGGATTAAAGTTACACATGAAAGAATCAAGAATGAAGGTTGCAATTGCAACACTTTAAGATTATATTGAACTAAATATTAATTCACTAGCAATTTATCTCCAAGTCAAACACAACAAGTTAACTGTCTGTTAACATTTACAAATTGATAACAAATCATGCCACATATGAGAGTTGAACATGATGTATCGTGAAAGCTGTTAAGGGGACCGTCTACCCTCAGTAAAAACTTCTACAGTTATTATCCAATCATCCTGAAACTTCACATACACACGTAGGCCTAAAATGTAAAAAAAATAACATTTTGCTCCTATGAATTTTTTGAAAAAATTGATAGAAAATGTGAAATTAATAAAAAGCTGCTAAAAACGGGTACTTTAGAAAATCTGTCTCCTCCTACAAATATCATCATACAACATCGAGACACGTATCATTCGATTCGTAAAGACCATACCTTTTGACTCTAAGATCACTTTTCTCATTTTCCCCATAGTTTTTTTTATACGCATTTTTCCCATTTTTGTTGGCATTTCCATCAACAGAATGTGGTGTATTGAATAATTAAATTTAATGTAATACAATATAATTATTAATTTTTCAAATTTAATTTAATTCTACAGTAAATAAATGAATTTTAAAAAATTAAATTGAGAATTTTAATTAATCAACTGCATCAAAGGTAGGAATGCAAGTGCAGATAGTGCAATCAGTAATTCAAGTTCATGCATACCAAACTGGCTCAAGGATACAATTGCACTGCAATAACTGCATTCCTCATTAGTATTTAAATAACTTTGTGTCAAAATCTGTCATCAAGATCATCTATACTGTAAAAGGTGGTAACTTAGACTACTTTTTTTATTAAAATGATGCCAATTTTTTACTAGCTAAATTAAAACTTAAATTGAAATGTGGAAAATACAGGTCTATACTCTAGGTTCACTCACCATAAATTGCTGGCTCCTGCCTCTCATAGTTTTGATTTAATTTTAAAAAAAGTGATGGTATTTGTTATCCCAGCTCTTGGGGTATCTTAGACTGGGTGGTAAAATCACCACCTAATGTCAGCCGTGATGGGGTAATATTGACCGGCTTGGAAATTAAGTTAAAATTACCATATATAAGACTCTGTAGAGTCTGAAACATAAAGAAAAAACATTAATAGGTGTATCAAACATGAAATATGTTTTATATTGTAATTTTAAATTAATTTCCAAGCTGATCTATGTTACCCTGTCAGGGCTGACATTAGGTGGTCTAAGTTCCCCCATTCGGGGTTGGTGCCCCCCATTTGCAAACAATGACACTTTCCTCAAATTTGTCATTTGCATATGTAACTAGAAGAGTTCTACTACAATGCACCAAAATCTGGAGTTATTTTACCAAAAAATAAAAAAAAATTTGAGGGGGGGTTCTACCAAATAGGGGGCTTTAAATAATAGCCCTTTTTCGTGGGTCACATTTTTCATTGCTTCACCTATTAGATATGCATAATTTTTTTATCTTTCTATTGTGTTACGTAGCCTCAGTATTAGGCCTTTAATGCCCATTGACAAAATTTTTCTGTCATATAGTTTTTGAGTTTTGGGGGTTTTTGTAAAAAAACTAGAAGTGGTCTAAGTTACCCCGGGAGTCTAAGTAACCCCCTTATACGATAGGTATTTGTTTTGCTGGTTCTTCTGATGAGATAATGATCAGGTGATCTGTAATGTAAAGATTTTCTCATGATTGTGTGGAAAAAAAAATGTACAATAATTTAGGTATTGATGCTTATTCTCATGGAATTTAATTTCTAGAAAAAGTTTTTGTATACTAACTTTTCACAGCTTTGAGACCATACTTTAATATAATAGCCATTTTAATTTCAACCTAATTTACATGTTCATATCATCAGTTTAAAAATATTTCTTAGTTTCACTATCATGATATTTCAAAGCAAACGTGCTACCAATGCATCATGAGAAACTTGAGTGCAGATGAAGTTCCAAAGCTCTCAGATGAGCTTCTTCGTGAAGAGCTTGAAGTTCGTGGCACACCTGTTGGACCAATTTCGGACTTCACAAGGCAAGATGCAGCTACTAACTGAATTTTTTATGCACTACCTATATCAGACTTATTTTAGTTTATTGTTGACTAAAGTGAAGAGGAGCTTGTTGCTTCTATTAGCTTTACTTCTAGATAATTAGTCTTTTTGTTTAACTTCTATTCCTTGACACTAAGGTGTATCATTCATTTTAACAGAGGGAATGCTCCCAAATATTTCTTTTAGTTACTATTTTTCAATACATTATTCAATACATGGATGAAGTAATATATGAGTCTAACCTTTTTGATTGAAGTTTTACTTATTAACTGATGTATGACCTGATTTTTTGGTGTAATTTTCATGATTTTCATGTTAAATTAACAGGCCACTGCTGGAGAAAATTCTTCTACGCAAACTTGGACTTCTAGAATCTGGTGAAGAAGAGGGAGCTCGAGGGGATGGCTGGGCTAGCCAGGCAGTTGAGAGCAAAGCTGCAAGTGATGCAGAAGCTCTTCCGGTATATGCATTTTTTGGAGTCCATCTACCACCAAACTGCTGCGAATCACATGGGCCTGATCCTGGTTAGGTTATCAAGCTTTCTAACAAGTTACTCACTTGCATCAGTTATGAAATGTGCTCATTGCTCATTGTGTAATGGTCAAATTATTTGTGACTTTTTAGTTTTTTCTCTCTGTTTTCATGCTTGTCTGATTTGGCTAAAAAATTTTCAACTTGAATGCCAGAAGTGGCTAAGTGAATTAATTATTCCTGTGTTTTAAATTAATTTTGATACAATTAATCTTAATCTGATTTATCTTCTCAGAATTATTACAACAAATCTTGTTAATGATGATTTGCTACATTTTATTGCATGAAGATAACAATTTCCAAGTATTCTGTGAGATCATCACAGAAATAATCTTTATAATTTTCTATTGAATAATACATTTTTTTCTGAAGCACCATCTATTGTTTTATAATTTAGTTTTCAGCATTTGTTGTAAACTAAATTGATTAAGTTGATTAAAATTAATTAATTTTTTCAGACTTCAAGCCCGTGTACACAGACAAGGCTAAATGTCTGGCTGCTCTAAAAAAACACAAAGGATCGCGCTTCAAAACCTTTCCCAGCTACGATGATGCGCTGCAGTTCTCAATGAATGGTCCTAAAGTTAATCTGAATGAATCTAGTGTTGACTTGGTCTGTGATAAAGGTAAATGAGAAAGAGAGAAGTTCTAGGTGTGTTTTTAATCTTAAGTGGTATGTTTAAAGTATGTATTGCCTAGTTTCATCTAGCTATATGTTATGCTGGTTAATAACATTATCAAGGACCTATCTTAATCCAAAGTTTGAATATTCATAAATTTTTATGTATGTAACATATTGAAAACTTTAAACTAAATATAACTATTAGTTTGTGATAGTCCTGTGATTTTAAAATTTGATGCAATGTCAATGCAATTAAAATTTCATTCTAACATTCCAGTTGATTCCGTTGATGGAAATGCCAACAATCAGCCAAGTTTAAGCCTTGAGAAGCCTTGTGCATTTAGAGGACCTTCTTCTCAAGACAGAGTCAAGTTCCGTAAAACTATTGAGACTGGAGACATTGCTGCATTCAATGAGGTGTGTGGCTCTAACATTTTTTTAGTTTTCATAACTGTCTGAGAATAAATTTATGGAAGTGCTTAATTGATCCATATAATTTCTTGATTTAATTTTCAATAGATATATATGTAGTATGCCATCAAGAATAGTATTCAGGACCTTCCATTGTAGTATGTTTACCTACAAAAGATTTCTGGACCGCTTGTGAAATAGTAATTTATTCGTATTTTCCCCCAACAGTTAGTGTGCAACAACCCGCGATATTTGGTGAGCAGCGGCGACAGTCCCGCCATCTTGAAGGAAGGCACGCGGTACAACGCGCTCCACGTCGCCTGCCTCACCAACCAGCATGAGATCTGTGCAATGGTGACTGTTTTTCCTCACTTACTCTATCAGAAAATAAATAATTCAATAGACGTGCTGTTTCATTATTATCTGAAGATCTTTGTGGCTGCTTATTGTCTGCTTCCATTGTTGCAATCTTTGGTATTGTCCTTAGAACCTTATTGTGTGCATTTATCTTATTAACGTACAATCTTGATCGTTTAACTATTTTTCAGGTAGTATTAGTAAATATTTTTTTGCCAGATACCGCATTTCTCAGAAATAGGTTGTGAAATTTCTGAAATTAATTTCAAAGATTGAATTGAACAGCTAAAATGTTTATTGCTAATATTATGTATTGTATAATATACTACTATATATTTACTACTACTATACTATTTTATATTATATAATACTACTAATACATTGCACATTTCATACTGATTTGCTGTTTCATTTTTTCTTCATTTTCCATTTTTTGTGGATTTTCTGCTTCAGATCTCGAATTTTTTGCCGTTCTCTGCTCTAGTGTTTCAGATCTCAATTCTGTTCCCAGATTCTCCGCTTCATATCCCAGCCAGACCTGTTCAAACGTCTATACCCTGACGACAGCCCGTCCACCAGCACCCGGCGGCAGCAGTACCTGCTAGATCTGTACCTTAACATGCCAGATAAAGGGCCTTATGAAACACCCCTGCACATTGCATGCAAGCTCGGCCACGTGCAGTGTGTTAAAATCCTCACCTCATATGCGCTCTGTGACAAGGAAATTTGCAACAAATACGGCGATAAACCTCGAGATGTGCGTATATTTTGTGCCCAACATGTATTCTTTACCATTAGGATTAATAATTATTTATATGAATATGATCAAATTTTGGTGTATAGAATGTGTCTCTTTTTAATTCATTTTGAATTTTAACGATAGAAGCATTATTAAATTGTAATACAGGGTGTTTCAGAATTAAGTAACCCTTTTAATTTGTTAATAAATAAAATACTAAGAACGTTATGAAGTTGAAACTTGTTTTATTTAAAAGAAGAACATTTTCATGGTAATATTGTATCATAGTTACGTCATTATCCTGTATAACTTGCTAAATTTGTGTTTAATTATCAAGCCTTAAATTTTCATCATGATTCGCTACAGCAAAGAAGAAAGAACAAAAATTATCGCTACAGTCAATAACGATGTCAATAACAGAAGTTCAACGTGATTACAGGATCCATTTCAAAACAAGGATCCTTCAAAAAACACATTTAAATATCTTTGTCGAAAATTTGCGGATATCAAAAATTTGCACTCTCGTCAGAAACACTAATGAAGGTTATGAAAGCAACGAAGAGAAGAGCCCTATTTTGTCTAAACAATTGTGGTGGGCATTTAAAAGATATTATAATTAAAAACTAGGATACAATATTACCATAAAAAATGTTCTTCTTTTAAATAAAACAAGTTTCAACTTCATAACGTTCTTAGTTTTTTATTTATTAACAAATTAAAAGGGTTACTTAATTCTGAAACACCCTGTATTTTGTTGCCAGCGCAAGCATTAAGTTCAATGCTGAAATTCCTTATACCAAAAAGCTCGTCAAACAATAATCTTATTGAGTGCAGATCCAAGAATTCCCCTTTGGTGTACGTATATAACAGTATGATGTATTGGGACAGAGTAAGAGTAATAATACATGGATAAATTCAATACAAACTCAAAATATGATTTAATTTCAGGTGATTTGCCAGCGCTGGCGAGGCGGGGCTGGAGGCAGCCCTTCCAATACCAAAGCGGCTATAGCAGAGCTGTTGGAGGCTCATTACTACGTGCCGGTGCTGCGGGACTCGTCTTTTAACCTTCCTCCTGTCGTAGGGGAAGTCTGGTCGCCAACGATCGCGTCGGAACATGGTTTGTTGTGTCTGGGGCCTTACTATCAAAACTAACCTAAGTACGTACTCGCAGCGGGCGATTTCTCGTCTGTGATTGGTGGGATGGAAGAGCCGTCAGTGATTGCGAACATTTACCTATTTTCAATAGAACGGCACCAGAAGTGCCGTGCTTTAACTTCTTTGCTGTTAACAACTTTGTTAATTTTAAACAACAGCAATTTATTTCAAAATAACGCTTCATTAAAAACGGTACTTGTTGCTGGATAATTTTGTTCCCTGTTTTATGACTTATTGTGAATGCTCTTGAATTCATATTAAGTGCCTGCTTTCAGAGTTTGCTGGCGACGTGACGTCTTCGACTTTTAGCTTCTTAAACGTCAGCGACTGCAGCTTGATGAACGTGAGCAGTTTGGACTGCAGTGGCCAGCTGCCTTCAACAGCGTCCACTTCACTCATGCATAGGCTAGCTTTGCCGAGTCCACTCTCGTGTTCGAGAAAGGTGAGCTAACTCTCTTGTTTTACACTATTTTCAAGAGCTTAATTGAAGTTCAGTTATTATACAACCTAACTACTCGAAATTTCTGTGGCCGCCATTTATTTATGCACAAAATTCAGAAATATGATGCCAATGAAGACTGATGGTCTGTGTAACCTATTGCTGTCTTTCAAATTTTGTCCACGTTTATGATTGTATTCATACTTTACTCCTTTTTTATAATAATTACATACTGATAAAATAAAGTATTACTACGGTATTTTTTATATTATATTTTGTTATTCATTGCCTCCCATTTTCACTTTTTGTTGAAATGTGATTTTTTAAATTTTAAACCCTCAGACTTAACATATCCTTGTGCATGACCAGTAGGCTACGTTCCAACACGCGTATGTTATTCGCCCCAAACTATGCTCGGTCGAGCTGCAAGAATGTTCACATGCATACCGTGTATTATTCCGCTCACTTATTACAGGTTGAAGCATTTCTAGGCCCCTTGCCACTCTCCAAAGCGTTGAGTGCGCGCAAGCAGTGGCGCGACTGCGCACGTCCATCTCGCACTCTGTGCTCCATCCCAGCAAACCGTCTTGAAACGTCAGGTTTTGGAGAAGATTCCTCTCCCATCCAGCCAAATGCTGCTGTCCACAGCACGCCCAAGCGAGGTCTTGGTCTTAGCCTAAACTTAGAAACGCCGCCGTCTCAAGGGACGACTTCCATTCTCTCCAGCACGCCTCGACACAGAGATGTTGTTCTACCAGATTATGAAAAAGGTCTCGAAGTTCACGGGAGGTGAGTCCTGACCCTGATTAGTTATTTCAAGAAATATTAGCATTTTTTGTCATCTATTTGTACATGAATGTTTGGAAGAGGTGGAAAAAAAATTTGCATGTTTCACTAAATTTTACCTGTGATCTGTTATACTTAGGATATCAATCCTGTAATTTTTTACAATGTGAACAGTAATGTAATTAAACAGAAGATAATTTTTTCATGTACCGGGAGTTTTATTTTTTTTTTTGTTTTTTTTTATTATTTCTCTTCTCTTTCATTAAAAAAATCAATTGTAACTTTGGGAATTTCAGACGCCTAGCTAAGGAATACAACACAAATTGGTTTGAATATTGGGACTTTCTGGGAGAATTTGTTGACTGCAGCTCTGAAGACGGAAAGGCCAAACTGGAGGCACATCTCAAGCAGCAGTTTGCTAAGGTAAAGTTATATTTAATTAATTGAACTCTTATCACAGCAGAGCGGAAAGACTGAAAACTATTGACTCATTTTACAAGATGCAATTTGGATAGTTATCCTGTCTAAAATCATTACTATATCATATGCCAGCTACGCGTTTCGGCTTTGAACAGGAACCAATTACTGATCGACATTGAATCCTTCACAAAATGAAGAACCTAAGTGCAAATAACTTCTCTGAAAATGCATTGAAATCATTGATGTGTTGGCGAGATGGTAGAATTTCGTTCTGTACGGTATTTTCATGAAGTAAAACTGACTGTTTCAAGTGCATAATTCTATTTAATGGCAACTTGGTGATGCAGTAGAGTACGTGCAGGTGGTGGCCAATGAGCAGAGCATTGACATGGACATGGTGTGTCGTAAGCTCATTGATGAAGGCGTTGATGTGGAAAACAAAGACGTCGTCGCTGCTGCTGCTGACAGTGAGTCGAGTCTCGACCCGCCTTTTTCTGCAACGTCCAGTGGTCGTCTCACGGCCGTCATGATTCCAGGTATGTACTGGAAAATTTTTTTTTCAATTTATTGGTATCAATTATTATGAAAAATTGGGAATAATTAAATAGAGTAGATGTAGAAAATTCTCTGTACGGTATCCATTTTCAATAAATCAGTTCTGTGATGTAATTACTGACCTATTGCAGGGATACTGACCTATTGCAGTGGTCAGAATTCCGCCATTCATCATGAATGAAAATTAGTTTCATAGAACTCCCTAATGACACATGTCATCTTAAATTATTTCAGTCACAGGAGTTTCGCCGTCGAACCACTTGCCAGTGAAGAGTCACACACAAAGCCCGAACAGAAGCAGCAGCAGCAGCTCCCTGGGATCTCTATGTCAGGGCCTGGAGGCCATCAGGCTGAATGCTTCGCTGTCTCCCACTGCCTCTCATTATTCTCCTGCTGCCCAAAGGTGGGCTTTCCTGCCTATCATCTGACATGAAATGATGCTGTGAAATGAATAATTTTTGAGGGAATGTTGTGTGTGTTCATTGTTAACTTATTAAAATATTGAACTAAAATAAGGCAGCTTTGTGATTGACATGCATATATGTCTTCTTCGTTAGGGAGTGACGTCTTAATTTCATAAAATTGCTCGTCATGGTGACTACCCATGTCTTCTATTGTGAAACGTTCATGAGACTGATGACAAATCATTTTTATATGTAGTTATCTAGCAAAGTACTGAAAAGTTTTCAGCTATCGCAATATGAATAATTCCTAGGGCTGACTGTGAATAAGTTCGATCTCCAGCACTTGCAAGCATTTGCCTCACTAAAATGATGCTTTTATAGCTAATAAACTCTCTGACCAACAGGCGCTACAACGAGCTTATGGACATGATCCAATCGGACGAGTCTCAGCTACGTGAGCTGATCACTTCTATAGACACGAGCCATTTGAGCCTCACAGCGGACGAGCTGAACTTAAGCCTGCGCAGCGACAACTGGCGTCTCATCAGCTACGTGGCGCAGTCATGTCGCGTGACGGCGCGTACGCTGGCTTGTGTTCTACAGGACCTGGTTGCAGACCCCCAGCTTAGGATGCTGCCTCAACTCTCCATCATTCGCATGGTTAAGACAAGAATAGCTGGTGAGATCCTTGCTCTCCATGTGCTAATCAGTAGATGCTGTGCCGATGACAGAAATACAGCACGCTCGAAGAAATCTGGTTCTAAGCACAAAGATGGTTGCAACGTGAATGGTGAAAACAATAATTCCAGTCCAGATTTTGAGCGGGAAAACTTTGTTGAGTCTACCAGAGAGAACTCAGAACTGAACTCTGTTGTTGATAATAATGAAACACTTGCTGGTAGCCGGGAACAGAACGCCTTTGAGAGGAGCATTCAAGAGTCTGGGATCACTTTCGTCCATGGACTATTGGCTGTCGAGATTCTAAGGCTGGTGAGCGAGTGTCTCCTTCCAAGTGAACTTCTCTCCTTGCTCCATGTTCTCAAGGTTGTTGTGAACAATTTAACTTATCTTGAAATCGCATTGTCAGACGAAGAGGGCGATGAAGATGATGTTGAAGAAAATAGACGTTTGCTTGGAAGACGTGATACGAGGAAAATTCATGATAGATCTGACCATGCACAGCACGTCAAATGTGTCGTACTTCTTTTAGAACGCGCTCTTGGTATAGCCACCAACGAGGGTTCTGATGACAAGTGCAATCGAATCCCAGGGGTTGCTGAGTTGCCGGGATGTTCTTGCCATTGGGAGAATTGTTGCGTGACTTTAGCAGCACTCACAGAATATGCATTCAACGGTCCATCGTCTCTTGCAAAAAAACATTCTGGAACGATGCGTAACAACTCGAATAACACGAGCATGCTTGAAAGTTCTTTAAACCAATCAAACGTCAAGTTCAACAAAGCACATTCATTTCTACACCAAACTGTGTTTGGTAACGGAAGTCCATCGATCCATTCTCGTATTAATGCTAAAGTTAAAGGATCTCCCGAGCTTCGCAAATGCTCTCTAAAAGAAAGTATTGTGAAAACTTTAAACTTTGATGATGATGACAACCTCTCTTCTCAAGATGTTTTGAACAAAGATTGTAATGGCAATAGCACCCCGTCAAACTTAGTTGCGTCAAAGAAACTGAGTAATGCCAAAGATATTAATCTAGTACCAATGTCGAATCTTAATGATGAATCTCTCGTGTATGAGAACAATAATGTTCTCTTGCCTAACGTTGGTCTTCTTATTGAAGAAATTGGTGTGAATGGAGTTTGTGTTAATAGTGATACCGGCATGGAAAATATTGCGTCTGACCCGATATCCCCGAATGACGATCATGTGGACTCGGGTCATGTGCTGGACGATGGCTGTAACGAAGATAATGATGACGACGATGATAGCTTCGCCACGGCAGCCAATACTTCCATCGGCAGCTCCTTAGCTACACCTGAAGATATCAAAGAATTTTATATCAAAGGGTGAGTGAAAAAAAGTTTCCAAGGTTTCATTACCACCAGATACTACTTCATGTTAGCGAGTTTCGTAAGTTAAATTCAAAAGATGGAAGTATTAGGGTTTCATTTTTAACGGATCCCACATTGAGCATTTGCCTATTTCGAGTTTCTTTTTTAATCGTTGCCTACCATTCCGAAGCTATCTCGCGCTTGTAATTAGAAAAACTTTTACTAATAAGACCCGCGCTCCAATTCTAACGACATTTGTTTATTTACAACACTTCTCTTTAACTTCAATTCTTGTTTGTTTATTTATTTGTCCGGTACAAATCTTATAAGTGATATTTAACACACTTCTACTTTTCCAATCGATCTGAAACTTTGCACACTTTTATAAAGTTGGAGACATTGCATGAATCAATTGACAGAATGAATAATTTTCGAAATAAAAAAAAATTTAATAATAAAAAAATGTAAATAATTTTTAATATTGAAAAAAGAAATTCATTGTACATGTGTAACATCAGTGGCACTGGCCTCTGTAGAAGTGTTGTCTTTGAAAAGTAATTTTAAACGCATATTTTATTTTTCAGAACAACCCCGACAAAAGTAGATGTGGACGTACTGAAGGCGTTGGCAGGAACGTCCAGCATTGACGTCGCCACCACCGCGCCTGTAGACGAAACCAAATACCCGCACCTGGCGCAGTGGCAGCAGCTGCTCCAAGACAAGGTGCGCTCCTCGTCCCAGCTGGAATTAAACGACACCAACGACGCCGCCCCTGTTGACCAGGGACGAGTGTCGAGCTTGTTCGAATCTCCTTATTGTCCCAAGTTGAAGCGTTCAATTAATTTTAATTCTTCTAATCCAAGCATTCCATTTTCGCCGTTGCCTTAGCTTGATTATTTTGGGTTTGGTAAGTTGGGAATTCCTTAAGAGAAATTTTTCTTATTAATGGCTTCTGTGACTTCTTCTTTCAAGTGTTGAATCTAATATTGAATCTTTTTCTTAATTTCAAGATCTTGAATTATCTCTAACTCAAAAGTAATATTGCTAGAAATAACACTGGAACAAGGTCTTTTGGGTTTTAAACTTTTTTTTATGATATTAGGATTTTTTTTTTCAACTAAAATTTTAAGTACCTATGGAAAACTGAAAAATTTGACTGAAATTCTGGTAATCAATATATAACAAACTTTATGACCTTCATCGACGCTAAATCCATATGCGTATAGTATTTTCATGATAAAGGTATCGCATGAAAGTATTGTTCATTATGAAAGTTCAGATATATCAACTGTTCAGATATAACTAAGAACAAATAAATGGTCTAGATTTTTTGTGTGAATAGCACAGTTTCGTCTGAGAAAATTCGACGTCTCTCAAGATAGTGTTTAGTTTAGCTGCATCCTTCCTTCCTGGCGATCATGTCTTCTTGTGTTTGCATTCCTTGTTTTACGACTTGTACTTCCGCTCGTATGATATTTTTGGCATTCTTTTCAGTAGATTTTTACTTGTATTTACCGAGTTCTAAGTGTAAATAATTCTCTTCACCATCTTCTTGTTTGTGAAATTTGTCTGCATTATGCGATTTATTGCTCTCGCCCAGGGGTCCTTCAGTCTTATTTAATGCAAATCTTGATCTATATGACCGTAACAATGCGCATTGTAGGCGTTGCTGAAATAAACAGTAAAGTATTTGGTAGTTTTTAGAGAGTATCACAATAATTTTCAAATTTATTGACAAAAATTGACCGTTGAATACACAGAGAAGATCTGCGAACATAAAGAATTGTACGTAGTCCGTGTGGCGCATTTATTTTCTTTTGATTCATTCCTCCGGCAATCAATTTTAAATATCTCAACGTTGTGAACTCAGAATTTCGGCGTATGTGATATCACATTAATCGTTGATTTTGAACTTTGGACCTGATGAATCATAATAAAGTTCTATCAATAGCCTGGACTTGAATGGACACGCAATCTCTCGAGCTCGTTCATATCTAGTTTGTATTTAGCACTACTCTCGTATCTGGGCTCGTACGAGCGTGGATAAGACAGTGCACATATTGTCATCCTAAGTGACTGTACCGAACAATTTTCCTTGGGTTTATAAAGGACGACTAGTGAAGTTTTCGGCTTAGATTATTTTAATTGTCAGCATTTGGTGCATTTTTACTTATTTTCTGACCAAGAAAAACAGAATATCAATAAGAATAATTCCCTTATAACTTAGTGCGTCTCATTGGTCCTGCAGTACTTGTATGGTTATCAAATAATACCCGTTTATTCCGAAGGCAGCTGTGACATAGGAACTGTTGTTGACTTTTTGAAAGGTGTTTGGTACAATGTTGACGTTTTTGGTCTATGGGAGTTTTTTTAATTGAGGTTTTCGTTCCCGCTTGATTTATGATTATATTTTTTTGTTGTTGTTCAGTTTTTGCTAGCTGGTTAATTAACTGGCTTTTTGTTAATTTAACTGGCCAAAGCTCCGTAAAATCTGTAATCCGTACCTTCTCACACTTCATTTGAGAAAAAGTTTTGTAATTTATTTTGAGAACATCGGACCAGTTGCGTTCGAGTGTCGAGGGCGTGAGTGGATGGAATTGAACTTGTCAACCTCAATTTGAACGTCCAAAATAAGAACCTCGTGTATTTACAGGATTACAGAAAATTTGTTTTCGTGTCGTGTGCAATTTCTGGAAATATCTGACATTCTGTATTGTAACTGTACCAGTTTTCATTTTTGTGTGTTAAAATATTAGGCTGATGAATTGGAAATTCATCAACACGTTCAATTTATACAGCATGTTTTCCGTATGGGTTGCATTTCTCTGTATTAAACGGAAACTTTAGACTAGCTCAGATTGCCTTGCTGTGTCCGTTTGAAAGAGGCATTAAATTTTTTCCCCAACTATTTGCCTGTGCTGTAAAAAACGAAGCGGCATCTTAGTGTAATTTGATATTTTTCTATGAATAAGAAAGGCTTACCTTACAGTAATTACCAACTAACAGTTCATCCGTAGTAAAATATAATATTCTTACATGAAAGATCGTTTCATATCCTATTGTAATTCTAGAATTAGCGAATCAAATTCCGCTCGATAGCGCTGCGCAGTTTTCCAAATTCTGTTATTTTGGGGAACTGTAGACTCATGGTTGAATTAGTAAAAATTTCACTAGCTAAACATCACTGTTTAGTAGTTAGCAATGCATATACAAAATTTCGTTCAAATCTGTTCGGTAGTTTGGAAGAAATTCCTTGATCATTGCGAAGTTCGGCATGTATCGCCATATAACTCACAAATGAAGGCGAAAAAAAATCATGAGTTAAATGTCGCCGTTAGGTCCTACTGAATACGTGTACAAGTTTCATCGAGCTGCGTCCATTAGTTTGGGAGATATTCCTTCATCATGTAATTTTGCCGACCGGCCGCGAGTCCAGCCGTAAAATTGGCCAAGACGTCAAGTGTCCGATGGTCGCGCTTTTAAGTCATGACAACCAAATTGAATAAAAATACTCGAGTTGCAATCAAACCCTGGGTAACTATGCATCCACACCACTTTGAAATTGTCTTTGAACTGGAGTGAACATATTTATAGTTATATGTAGTAAATATACAAATTATAGTTAGTGATATATTTATTTTTCTATATGGTGGAAAGTTCAAGTAACTTCCGCGTACCATCTGAGCTCCCTAGGTTCTAAACTTGTATTGAATTTTTAGTTCTTCTGAAGGTGCGCTGAAATTGATTTAAATTGGTCACTAAAGTTATAACAATAAAAAATCTATTAATGTTCATATAAATCTTACCGAGTTTCATCGAACAGGCCGTGCCAGTAAATTGCACAAATTAATAGATGTTCGTCAACTTATCAAAACATTACCTATCGCTGGACGGGCAAGGCTCACCAAATAAATCGTTTACCCACGAAATGTAACCCTACTTCAAAGTTCACCCGAATCAAACTGTGTCAACAAATATATATCTACTGTTCTCGTACAGCTGTAGATATAGTGAGCCCTGCACCACCTGCTCAGAAGTTAGAATAACTTATTAGAACAGTTGTGTCGAGCAGCAACGCCAGCCAATATGGCCATGAAGTCCAGCACTCCAGCTACTGGCAGAAGTGCAGTGACTAGCATGTGAAGTAGTTAGACGTGCTGAAGCTGAATGACGAGTGTGAACGTGTTACTAGGGTGAGGATGTTTAACTAGGGTGAGGATGTTTTAAAGTTTAGCTAATTTTTGTACAGTCCATTTTATGATTGAATTTAAACAGTTTCCTGACAACTCGTGCTACTGGAATCAGATTAACCATCAGAATATCACAAACGAAGGCAGGCTGTGACGTACCTTCAGCTGCTATTGCTGGAAAGACTCGTGGAAGGACCCTAGTCCCTATTAAAATGGTGTTTCAGAAGAGAAGTGTTCGGCGGTTGATACCGTAAATGTTTTTCAAACAAATATATTATGGGACATTATTTACCTTGTATATTCATTTGTTGTTTATCTTAATTCAATTCCTTACTGACATGTTATAATCGTCTTACGGATAATGAATTGGATCATACATATGCATTACTCTATGTACTTATTATCACGACAGCACATGTCTGTTTCGTAACTTCAGCAGCTTCTTTCTCATTTGATTATTATTTGGTCCTTATTTAAATTTGATCGTGTGCTGAACCTAATCGTAATTCGATCCTGCTAAATCGACAGATCGGCTCCCTCCCTCGTCGCATCTTAAAAGGCTTTATGCTTTGTTTTTTTGCGCTGAGGTTCAAGTCCATCACCGTAGTTATATATTTATAATGAGGAAACCAATTATTTTTCTGTTGTTGGTCCTGGGATCGAGCTGCGTGGTATCTTTGCTGTCTGCAGGTTTTGACCCGAAGCCTAAAGCCTTCCCTGGCGCCTCTAAAGGGATTACCTTCGAAGTCCACAACTACGAGCAGAAGGTAAGGGGGCTCATTCTATCTTGACGAGAGACTGAACGAGACTGTTACACTTTTGAGAAATTCTATTAGCGATTATATTATTTCATTTTAGAGCATATGCAAGCTAGTTTAAAAATGCTACTGGGTCGGTGCAAATTTTATTGATCTCTTAAGGGGAGCGTCTGGGTCAAAATCGACGATTTTGGCTTCTCCGGTTTTTAGTTTTATCTTAAAGCTGACATTCTGACCTATCCAACGGTACCAAAACCATCTCGGTACGTTGATTTATGCGTTCACGACAGATCGCGAAACGGCAAGGGTTGGTGGAGTTCTTCAACATTTAACATAGTGAGTAAATGCATCAGTGCACCTTAAATAGCTAGTCTTCACAAAATCACAATTTTTCGCTCCAGTAACCCCTCTGCAGTTGTGTAGGATGGTTTGCACGCCGTCTTTCTCACTATCCTTGACAGAAACTAAGCTCCAGCGCATCGTCTTGTCTTGCATCCTTGCAACCGTGAATGCCGATTTCGAGGCGCCCGGGACTATGTCGGGCTCTATTGAACAATCACACTTACTGTGACTGGAAAACTGTCTCCTCCTGCAGTTTTGAAGCTACAGCGATGAGAGATATACCGTTCAATTTGCAAAGAAAATATCTACTAAATTATGCATGCATTTCTCTAATTTCGTTATAGTTTGGACTTTATTCCGCAAAAAGAGGGGGGGGGGAATGGCGGGAGGTAAAATCGAAAAATGCTCCCACACCCACAAAAATGAGAATAAAAAAAAAAGCCTGCATCATTTTATAGATACGATTTTTACGCATCGAATGATATGTGTCTATATGTTGTACCTTGAAAATCCCAGGACTATATAGATTTCTACAGTACCCCTTTTTTGGCCGTTCTCTAAGAATTTCACTTTTTCTTTCACTTTTTTGTCGAAAAATTTACACGAACAAAAAAGTCTCAGATTTCTGTTTTACATACGTGTATCAAATTTCGAAGTGATCCGTCCGTAAATAACCGAGTTACGAAAACACCTAGACGCTCTCCTTAAGTGGTACTAGCACACACACCAAAAAAATGCTCGTCCGCACGTGATATAAAGACTAACAATAAGATATAAAAACGTGTTCAAACATTATTGAAATGTTGGCTATGATATTTTATGATCTTCAATTTTCCATA